TGGGCATATTTTGGGGCATTTTAGGCTCTTTTGTGGGTATTTTTAGGGATATTTTGGGGCTGTTCTGGGAGTATTTTCGTGGGTATTTCAAGGCTGGTTTTGGAGATACATTTATGGGTATTTTGGGGCTGTTTTGGAGGTATTTCTGTGGGTGTTTTGGAGTCATTTTGGGGTATTTTTGTGGGCATTTCAGGGCTGTTTTAGGGGTATTTTGGGGCTATTTTGTGGGTATTTTCATGGGTATTTCGGGGCTGTTTCTGGGCAATTTTTATGGGTATTTGGGGCTTTTTTGGGGCTATTTTGGGGCTGTCTTTGGGTCATTTTATGGGTATTTTAGGGCGGTTTTGGGACCGTTATAAGAGTATTTTGGTGGGTATTTTGAAGACGTATAGGACTTGAATTATGGGTATTTTTGACAGTATTTCGGGGCTGTTTTGGGGATATTTTTTTGGTTATTTCAGGGCTATTTCGGGGCTCACTCACGTCACCACGGGGTCCCGGCAGGGCTGCAGGGAGAGGCAGCAACAATCGAAATCCTTGATGGCGTCACGGCCCACCCGCACCCGCTGCGTGCCGTAACCCGAGGCGGCTGTGAGGGACACAAAGGCACAGTTGTCACCTCCCGTGCGCGTCCCCAAAGTCCCCAAAGCCCTCCCGGTGCCAGGCGCCACCTGTGTCCTTCTTCCTCTCGTGGTAGCTGTACACGGCCCCCGCCGTGCAGTTCTTGCCGTGCCGCGTCATGGCCGCGCCTCAGCAGCTCCGGGACGCTCCTGGAGGGAGGCAGAGCAGAATTTAAAGGGGTCCGGGAGGTTTTTTGGGGGATTTTTGGGGGTTTTTTGGGGTTTGGACGCGCGGCTCCCTCACGGTAGCTCCGCAACGGAAAGCGGAAGTGACGAACCGGAAGTGCGCCGGGTAAAAGGGTCCGGGTGGGAGCAGCGTTTTGGTTCCGCTCCCTCTGTGTCTCAGTTCCCAGTTTGCACCAGTTCCGCCCAGTGGCTCTCAGCAGCTTAGCCACGCGCCCTCCGTGCTGTTCCAAGTCCCGCCCCTATAGGGAGAAAGCCCCGCCTCTTTTCTATCTATAGGCATAGCAGGGCCACGCCCCTACCCGCCCCTTTCCCTATAGAAAATTCCTGGCCCCGCCCCTTTACCGCCTGTAGACGCCGCTTGGCCCCGCCCCTAAGGGCTCCCGCCACTGTCTGGCCATGCCCTCTCCCCATATATGGAGTCTGTCAACCACTCCCCTTTATTACCTATAGACACGGGTTCGCTCCTCCCCCTCAGCGCTCCCGCTTCGTGTGGCCACGCCTCTTTTCCATACATGGAGCGCTTGTTCCCGCCCCTTTGATCGCCTATAGAAGTTGCTTGGCCCCGCCCCTAAGGGCTCCAGCCAGCGTTTAACCACGCCCCTTTTCCATATATGGAGGCGCTTAACCCCGCCTTTTAATCGCCTATAGAAACAGTTTTAGCCCCGCCCCCAAGGGCTCCCGCCAGCGTTTAACCACGCCCCTTTTCCATATATGGCTGCGCCTAACCCCGCCCTTTTGTCCCAGTTTGGCCCCGCCCCCTCAGCGCATATCTCCGCGATGACCACGCCCCTTTTCCATATATGGAAGCACCTTACCCCGCCTTTACTCGCCGCGTAGCCCCGCCCCCTCAGCGCTCCCGCCACTGCATGGCCCCGCCTCTTTGCCCATTTACGGCCGCGCTCGGCCCCGCCCCTTTCCCCCTCACAGACATTGTCTCCCCGCGCCGCTTTCCCCGCCCCTTTTCCCTTATACGGCAAAACGCCGACCCCGCCCCTCTCCCCCCATTGGGCGGCGCCGGCCCGCCCCCTCCCGCCGCGCTCCCGCCGGCGCGCGGCCCCGCTCGGGCCCCGCGCGGTGCAGTGTGGGAGGAAGCGGCGGCGCGCGGCCCGCTCCATCATGGCGGCTCCGTGAGGCGCCCCCCGCCCGGCCGCCCCCCGGCCCCCCCGGCCCTCGACCCCCGCCCGGCCCCGGGGGCGCCGCCCCCATGGACAGGAACTACCCGGCCGCCGGGTTCGGGGACCCGCTCAGCGCCGGGCCCGGCTGGAGCTACGAGCGCTCGGCCAAGGCCAGGTGAGCCCCGGGGGGAGCGGGAGGGGAGGGGGGGGAGGAAGGGGGCGCGCAGTGGGGGGGGGGGGAGGGGGATGGGGGTGAGGGGGGATTTGGGGTGAGGGGAAGTTTGGGATGTGATGGATTTGGGGTGCAGGGTCCCGTTACACCGGGATTGGGGATGTGCTGGGATTTGGGGTGCAGGGTCCCGTTACACCGGGATTGGGGATGTGCTGGGATTTGGGGTGCAGGGTCCCGTTACTCCGGGATTGGGGATGTGCTGGGATTTGGGGTGCAGGGTCCCGTTACTCCGGGGTTTGGGGTGAGGGGGGTTTGGGGTGCAGAGGAATTTGGGGTGAGGGGGTCCCTTACACCGCGATTTGGGGTGCAGGGTCCCGTTACACCGGGATTTGGGATGTGTAGGATTTGGGGTGCAGAGGAATTTGGGGTGAGGAGGGGTCTCGTTACACCGGGCTTTGGGATGTGCTGAGATTTGGGGTGCAGGGTCCCGTTACTCCGGGGTTTGGGGTGCTGAGGGATTTGGCGTGAGGGGTTCCCGTTACACCGGGATTGGGGATGTGCTGAGATTTGGGGTGCTGAGGGATTTGGGGTGCAGAGTTCCCGTTACACCGGGATTGGGGATGTGCTGGATTTGGGGTGCTGAGGGATTTGGGGTGCAGGGTCCCGTTACTCCGGAATTTGGGATGCGCTGGGATTTGGGGGGCTGAGGATTTGGGGTGGGGGATCCCATTGCACCGGGACTTGGGGAGTGATGGGATTTGGGGTGCAGGAGGGTTGGGGTGCTGTGTTCCCGTTACACCGGGATTTGGGATGTGCTGGGATTTGGGGTGCAGAGGAATTTGGGCTGAGGGGGGTTTGGGGTGAGGAGGTCCCATTACACCAGGATTTGGGGCGCTGAGGGATTTGGGGTGTCCCAGCAGTATTGTGGTTCTGTAATCCCATTGCACCGGGATTTGGGGTGTGCTGGGATTTGGGGTGGGGGGTCCCATTGCACCGGATTTGGGGGGTGATGGGATTTGGGGTGAGGGGGTCCTGTTACACTGGGGTTTGGGGGTGATGGGATTCAGGGTGCTGAGGGATTTGGAGCGTGCTGGGATTTGGGGTGCAGAGGGATTTGGGGTGCGGGAGTCCCGTTACAGCGGGGTTTGGGGTGTGCTGGGATTTGGGGTGGGGGGGATCCCATTGCACCGGGATTTAGGGGGTGATGGGATTTGGGGTGCAGGAGGTTTGGGATGCTGTGATCCCGCTACACCGGGATTTGGGGTGAGGGGGTCCCGTTACACTGGGATTTGGGGTGAGGAGGGGTTCGGGGTGTCCCAGCAATATTGGGGTGCTGAGACCCCGTTAATCTGGGATTTGGGGCGCTGAGGGATTTGGGGTGTCCCAGCAGTATCGGGGTCGTGCAATCCCATTACACCGGGATTTGGGGTGTGCTGGGATTTGGGGTGAGGGGATCCCATTGCACCGGGATTTGGGGTGTGCTGGGATTTGGGGTGGGGGGTCCCATTGCACCGGGATTTGGGGTGTGCTGGGATTTGGGGTGAGGGGATCCCATTGCACCGGGATTTGGGGGGTGATGGGATTTGGAGTGTGGGGGTCCCGTTACTCCGGGATTTGGGGCGCTGAGGGATTTGGGGTGTCCCAGCAGCATTGGGGTCCTGCATTCCCGTTACACCGGGATTTGGGGTGTGCTGGGATTTGGGGTGGGGGGTCCCATTGCACCGGGATTTGGGGGGTGATGGGATTTGGGGTGCAGGAGGTTTGGGATGCTGTGATCCCGCTACACCGGGATTTGGGGTGAGGGGGTCCCGTTACACTGGGATTTGGGGTGAGGAGGGGTTCGGGGTGTCCCAGCAATATTGGGGTGCTGAGACCCCGTTAATCTGGGATTTGGGGCACTGAGGGATTTGGGGTGTCCCAGCAGTATCGGGGTCCTGCAATCCCATTGCACCGGGATTTGGGGCGTGCTGGGATTTGGGGTGAGGGGATCCCATTGCACCGGGATTTGGGGTGTCCCAGCAGTGTTGGGGTGCTGGGATCCCGTTACTCCAGGATTTGGGGCGCTGAGGGATTTGGGGTGTCCCAGCAGTATCGGGGTCCTGCAATCCCATGACACCGGGATTTGGGGTGTGCTGGGATTTGGGGTGGGGGGTCCCATTGCACCGGGATTTGGGGGGTGCTGGGATTTGGGGTGCAGGAGGGTTGGGATGCTGTGATCCCCTTACACCGGGATTTGGGGTGCTGAGGGATTTGGGGCGAGGGGGGTCCCGTTACACTGGGATTTGGGGTGCAGGAGGTTTGGGATGCTGTGATCCCGTTACTCCAGGATTTGGGGCGCGGGGTCCCATTACTCTGGGGTTTGGGGTGCTCCGGGATTTGGGGTGTCCCAGCAATATTGGGGTGCTGTGATCCCATTACACAGGAGTTTGGGGTGACAGGCTCCCACTACACCAGAATTTGGGGTGCTGCAGGATTTGGGGTGCTGGGATCCCACTCCAGGATTTGGGGTGCTCCAGAATTGGGGTGATGGGATCCCGCTCCAGGATTTGGGGTGCTCCAGGATTGGGGTGCTGGGATTTCATTGTAGCAGGATTTGGGGTGCTCCGGGATTGGGGTGCTCCAGGATTTGAGGCTCAGAAGAATTTGGGGTGCTCCAGGATTTGGGGTGCTGGGATTTCATTGTAGCAGGATTTGGGGTGCAGTGGGATTTGGGGTGCAATGGGATTTGGGGTGCTCCAGGATTGGGGGTGCTGGGATCTCATTGTAGCAGGATTTGGGGTCCTTCAGGATTTGGGGTGCTGGGGGTCCTGTTGTATCAAGTTTTGGGGTGCTCTGGGATTTGAGGGGCTCTGGGATTTGGGGTGCTCTGGGATTTGAGGTGCTCTGGGATCGGGGTGCTCTGGGATTTGGGGTGTCCCAGCAGTACTGGAGTGCTGTGATCCCATTACGCCAGAGTTTGGGGTGACAGGCTCCCACTACACCAGGATTTGGGGTGTCTCAGGTGGGCTGGGGTCTTGCGATGCTGTTCCACTGGGATTTGGGGTGTCACACCGGCATGTGGGGTGCAGGGATCCCGTCGTGCTGGGATTTGGGGTGCTGAGGTGTGTTGGGGTGCTGCGATACCGCTACAGCAGGAATTGGGGTGCGCCGGCATTTGGGGTGTCCCAGGGGTGTTGGGGTGCTGCGATCCCCTTGCAGGAATTGGGGTGCGCTGGGATTTGGGGTGCGCTGGGATTTGGGGTGCGCTGTGATTTGTGTTCTGTGGGGGTCCTGTGACGCTGGGATTTGGGGTGCGCTGGGATTTGGGGTGCACTGTGATTTGTGTTCTGCGGGGATCCCATGATGCTGGGATTTGGGGTGCTGAGGGATTTGGGGTGCACTGGGATTTGGGGTGCTCACACTTGGGGTGTTGAGGGATTTGGGGTGCTGAGGGATTTGGGGTGCTGAGGGATTTGGGGTGCGCTGGGATTTGGGGTGCTCACACTTCGGGTGCTGAGGGATTTGGGGTGCGCTGGGATTTGGGGTGCGCTGGGATTTGTGTTCTGCGGGGATCCCATTGCACTGGGATTTGGGGTGCTCACACTCGGGGTGCGCTGGGATTTGGGGTGCGCTGGCATTTGGGGTGTCCCAGGAACGTTGGGGTGCTGCGATCCCCTTGCAGGAATTGGGGTGCGCTGGGATTTGGGGTGCGCTGGGATTTGGGGTGCGCTGGCATTTGGGGTGTCCCAGGAACGTTGGGGTGCTGCGATCCCCTTGCAGGAATTGGGGTGCGCTGGGATTTGGGGTGCGCTGGGATTTGTGTTCTGTGGGGGTCCCGTGACGCTGGGATTTGGGGTGCGCTGGGATTTGGGGTGCTCACACTTGGGGTGTTGAGGGATTTGGGGTGCTGAGGGATTTGGGGTGCTGAGGGATTTGGGGTGCGCTGTGGTTTGTGTTCTGTGGGGATGCCACGGCACTGGGATTTGGGGTGCTCACACTCGGGGTGCGCTGGGATTTGGGGTGTCCCAGGGGTGTTGGGGTGCTGCGATCCCCTTGCAGGAATTGGGGTGCGCTGGGATTTGGGGTGCGCTGTGGTTTGTGTTCTGTGGGGATGCCACGGCACTGGGATTTGGGGTGCTCACACTCGGGGTGCGCTGGGATTTGGGGTGCTCACACTCGGGGTGCGCTGGGATTTGGGGTGCGCTGGCATTTGGGGTGTCCCAGGAACGTTGGGGTGCTGCGATCCCCTTGCAGGAATTGGGGTGCGCTGGCACTTGGGGACGTGCAGAGATGCGGAGCGTCCTGAGATTTGGGGTGTCCCTGGAATATCGGGGTGCAGAGGGATTTGGCATGCTCAGGGTTTGGAGCGTCTCTGAAGCATTGGGGTGCCGGCGTGCTGTTACACCCCGATTTGGGGTGTGCTGAGATTTGGGGTGTTGCTGGAGTATTGGGGTGCTGTTGTCCCATTGCGGCAGGAGTTTTTGGGGTGCTGAGGGGTTTGGGCTCCTCGGACGCCACGGCTGCCGCAGTCCCAGGGCTCGGGGATTTTGGGGTGCTGGGGATGGCAGCGCTGGGATTTGGGGTCCTGGGGGCGTCACACGGCTGCATGAGGGTTGGGGTGCTGGGATCCCGCTCCAGGATTGGGGTGCTCCAGGATTGGGGTGCTGGGATCCCGCTCCAGGATTTGGGGTGCTCCAGGATTTGGGGTGCTGGGATCCCGCTCCAGGATTGGGGTGCTCCAGGATTTGGGGTGCTCCAGGATTTGGGGTGCTGGGATCCCGCTCCAGGATTGGGGTGCTCCAGGATTTGGGGTGCTGGGATCCCGCTCCAGGATTGGGGTGCTCCAGGATTGGGGTGCTGGGATCCCGCTCCAGGATTTGGGGTGCTCCGGGATTTGGGGTGCTGGGATCCCGCTCCAGGATTTGGGGTGCTCCAGGATTTGGGGTGCTCCAGGATTGGGGTGCTGGGGTCCTGCTCCAGGATTTGGGGTGCTCCAGGATTTGGGGTGCTGGGATCCTGCTCCAGGATTTGGGGTGCTCCAGGATTTGGGGTGCTGGGATCCTGCTCCAGCAGGATTTGGGGTGCTCCAGGATTTGGGGTGCTCCGGGATTTGGGGTGCTGGGATCCTGCTGTACCGGGTTCTGGGGTGCAGCAGGACTTGGGGTGCTCTGGGACTTGGGGTGTCACACCTGTGTGTGTGTCTGGCACACCTGTACTTGTGTCACACCTGTGTGTGGGTGTGTCGCACCTGTGTGTGCCTGTGTCACACCCGTGTGTCAGTGTCACACCTGTGTGAGTGTTACACCTGTGTGTCAGTGTCACACCTATGTATGGGTGTGTCACACCCGTGTGTCAGTGTCACACCTGTGTATGGGTGTGTTACACCTGTGTGTCAGTGTCACACCCGTGTGTCAGTGTCACACCTATGTATGGGTGTGTCACACCCATGTGTCAGTGTCACACCTGTGTATGGGTGTGTTACACCTGTGTGTCAGTGTCACACCCATGTGGGTGTGTCACACCTGTGTATCAGTGTCACACCCATGTGTCAGTGTCACACCCGTGTGGGTGTGTCACACTTGTGTGTCAGTGTCACACCCGTGTAGGTGTGTCACACCCGTGTGTCAGTGTCACACCTATGTATGGGTGTGCCACACCTGTGTGTCACTGTCTGCCGCACGTGTATGGGTGTCACAGCTGTACACAGGCCACACACCTGTGTCACACCTGCCAGACCTGTGTGGGGCTCACACCTGTGTCACACCTGTCTCACACCTGTCATACACCCGTGGGGCTCACACCTGTCTCACACCTGTGTCACACCTGCCAGACCTGTGTGGGGCTCACACTTGTGTCACACCTGTCTCACACCTGTCACACACCCGTGGGGCTCACACCTGTGTCACACCTGTCACAGTGTTGTGGGGTGGTGGCAGTCACACCTGTCTGTCAGTCTGTCTGTCCCAGCCTGGTGTGATGCTGAGGGTGTGACAGTCTGTGTGACACAGCTGTCTGTCTGTCTGTCTGTCCCAGCCTGGTGTACGGGGCTTGGGGGGGATGTGACAGTCCCATATGCCGTGTGACACACCTGTCCGTCTGTCTGTCCCAGCCTGGTGTACGGGGCTTGGGGGGGATGTGACAGTCCCATATGCCGTGTGACACACCTGTCCGTCTGTCTGTCCCAGCCTGGTGTACGGGGGCTCGCGGGGGTCCCACCCCGACCCCGACCTGCTGCACCGGCAGCCGTACGGAGCGCCCCACCCGCTGCAGGGCTATGCGGCCAACCACCACCCGCCAGGTACCGACCGATTGTCACCTGCTGTCACCCACTGTCACCTGTGTGTCACCTGCTGTCACCCATTGTCATCTGTGTGTGACCTGGTGTCACCTATTGTCACCTGGCTGTCACCTGGTGTCACCTGTTGTCACCTGGGTGTCACCCGTTGTCACCCGCTGTCACCCATTGTCACCTGTGTGTCACCTATTGTCACCAATTGTCACCCATTGTCACCTGTGTGCCACCTGCTGGCACCAATTGTCACCCATTGTCACCTGTGTGTCACCCATTGTCACCTACTGTCACCCACTGTCACCTCTGTCACCTGGTGTCACCTGCTGTCAGCTTCTGTTACCTACTGTCATCTCTGTCACCAATTGTCACCTGCTGTCACCTGCTGTCACCTTTTGTTACCTTCTATCACCTTCTGTCATCTACTGTCATCTGTTGTTCCCTCTGTCACCATTGTCACCTACTGCCACCCTCTATCACCTCCCGTCACCTCTGTCACTCTCTGTCACCTGCTGTCACCTATCGTCACCTATTCTCGTCTACTGTCATCTTTTGTTATCTTCTGTCACCTCTGTCATCTACTGTCACCCACTGTCACCAGTTGTCACCTGCTGTTATCTACTGTCACCTTCTGTCACCCTCTGTCACCTGTGTCACCTTCTGTCACTTTCTGTCATCAATTGTCACCTGCTGTTACCTACTGTCAGGTTCTCTCACCTACTCTCACCTACTCTCACCTATTGTCAGCTATTGTCACCTATTCTCGCCTACTGTCACCTTTTGTTATCTTCTGTCACTTCCTGTCACCTCCTATCACCTTCTGTCATTTTCTGTCACCTTCTGCCACCTATTATCAGCTTCTGTCACCTCTGTCACCTGCTGTCAGCTGCTGTCACCTTTTGTCACCCACTGTCACCTTCTGTCAGCTCTTTTCTCCCCATGTCACCTACTGTCACCTTGTGTCACCCTTTGTCACCTCCTGTCACTATTGTCACCCCCCATCACCCACCTATTGTCACCCTGACCACGTAACACCATGACCTCAGGTCCCTGTGTCACCTTGTCACCTTGACTCCAACACTGTGTCACCCTGGAACATTGTCCCCTCACGTTTCCCGCCATTTTTCTCTTCATGTTTCTCCCCTCACGTTTCCCGCCCATTTCCACCCTTTTCTCCCCTGGTTTCCTAGCTTTTCATCCTCTGATTTCCCATCTTTTTCCCTCAAATTTATTTTCCTTTTTGCCTTCCATTTATGGCCTTTTTCCCCTCACGTTTCCCTCCCTTTCCTCCCCTCACATTTCCTACTCATTTTTCCCTCACATTTCTCAGTCTTTGCCTCTCACATCTCTCACTATTTTTCCTCTAATATTTCCTACCAATTTTTCCCTTTTCATTTCTTTTTGCTTCATTGTTTCATTTCCCACCCAATTTCCCCTCACGTTTCCCGCCCTTCCCCCCCCCCACCTTTCCCGCCATTTTTTCCCTCAGATTTCCCCCCTTTTTTCCCCTCACATTTCCCACCTTTTCTCCTCTTGTTTCATAACTTTTCTTCCTCTCATTTCCCATCCTTTTCACTCAAGTTTACTTTCCTTTTTGTCTTCCATTTCCTGCCCTTTTTCCCCTCACATTTCTCACTCTTTTCTCCCCTCACGACCCCCACCATTTTATTCACTCACATTTCCCTCCCCTTTTCCCCTCACATTTCCACCCTTTTCTCCCCTTTTTTTATAACTTTTTTCTTTCTCATTTCCCATCCTTTCCCCTCAAATTTACTTCCATTTTTGCCTTCCATTTTTCACCTTTTTCCCCTCACATTTCCCGCCCTTTTCCCCCCTCACGTTTCCCTCCCTTTCCTCCCTTCACATTTCCCACTCATTTTTCCCTCACATTTCTCACTCTTTGCCTCTCACATTTTTCACTCTTTTCCCCCTAACATTTCCCACCAATTTCTCCCTTTACATTTCTTTTTGCTTTGTTGTCTCATTTTCCTCCCATTTTCCCCTCACGTTTCCCGCTCTTTTCTCCCCTCACATTTCCCCCTTTTTCCCCTCACATTTCCCCTCACATTTCCCTCCTTTTTCCCCTCACATTTCCACCCTTTTCTCCCCTTTTTTTTATAACTTTTCTTCCTCTCATTTCCCATCCTTTCCCCTCAAATTTACTTCCATTTTTGCCTTCCATTTTTCACCTTTTTCCCCTCACATTTCCCGCCCTTTTCCCCCCTCACGTTTCCCTCCCTTTCCTCCCTTCACATTTCCCACTCATTTTTCCCTCACATTTCTCACTCTTTGCCTCTCACATTTCTCACTCTTTGCCTCTCACATTTTTCACTCTTTTCCCCCTAACATTTCCCACCAATTTTTCCCTTTACATTTCTTTTTGCTTTGTTGTCTCATTTTCCTCCCATTTTCCCCTCACGTTTCCCGCTCTTTTCTCCCGTCACATTTCCCCCTTTTTCCCCTCACATTTCCCCTCACATTTCCCTCCTTTTTCCCCTCACATTTCCCCCCTTTTTCCCCTCACATTTCCCCTCACATTTCCCTCCTTTTTCCCCTCACATTTCCCCCCTTTTTCCCCTCACATTTCCCCCTTTGTCCCTGAGCTGTCCCCAAGCTGTCCCCATGTCCCCAGGGCTGTCAGGGCTCTATCCCAGGGTGTCCCTGAGCTGTCCCCAAGGTGTCCCCATGTCCCCCCCAGGTCTCTCGGGACTCTTTGAGACGGGGCTGCACCACACGGGGTCACCCCAAACTGTCCCCAAACTGTCCCCAAGCTGTCCCCAAGTTGTTCCCATGTCCCCAGGGCTGTCAGGGCTCTACTCCAGGGTGTCCCCAAGGTGTCCCCGAGCTGTCCCCAAGCTGTCCCGGTGTCCCCAGGTCTCTCGGGGCTCTTTGAGACAGGGCTGCACCACACGGGGTCACCCCAAGGTGTCCCCAAGCTGTCTCAGGGTGTCCCCAAGCTGTCCCCATGGTGTCCCCAAGCTGTCCCCAAGCTGTCCCCGTGTCCCCAAGGTGTCCCCGTGTCCCCCCCAGGTCTCTCGGGGCTCTTCGAGACGGGGCTGCACCACGCGGGGTCACCCCACACTGTCCCCAGGGTGTCCCCAAGGTGTCCCCAAGCTGTCCCCGTGTCCCCAAGCTGTCCCCGTGTCCCCCCCAGGTCTCTCGGGGCTCTTCGAGACGGGGCTGCACCACGCGGGGTCACCCCAAACTGTCCCCAGGGTGTCCCCAAGGTGTCCCCAAGCTGTCCCCGTGTCCCCAAGGTGTCCCCGTGTCCCCCCCAGGTCTCTCGGGGCTCTTCGAGACGGGGCTGCACCACGCGGGGGGCGCCGCCCCCGACGCCTCCGTCATGAACCTGATCTCAGCGCTGGAGTCGCGGGGACCCCAGCCCGGACCCTCGGCCTCGTCCCTGCTCTCCCAGTTCCGCACGCCCTCCTGGCAGACCGGTGGGTCTGGGGGCTTCGGTTGGGAAACTGTGGGTCTGGGGGCTCTTATTGGGGGGGTTTATGGGGGGTGGTCTCAGTTCTGCACCCCCTCCTGGCAGACTGGTGGGTCTGGGGGCTTTTATTGGGAAACTGTGGGTCTGGGGGCTCTTATTGGGAGGGTTTATGGGGGGTGGTCTCAGTTCTGCATCCCCTCCTGGCAGACCGGTGGGTCTGGGGGCTTCAGTTGGGGGCTTCTATTGGGACCAGGAATCCTAATTCCATGCCCTGGTGGGTCTGGGGGCTTCTTTTGGGGGGGTGGTCTCAGTTTCACACCTCCTCCTGGCAGACTGGTGGGTCTGGGGGCTTCGTTTGGCGGCCTTTTATTGGGGGGAGGGGTCCTAATTCCATGCCCTGGTGGGTCTGGGGGCTTCGTTTTGGGGGGTTTTATTGGGGTAGGGGGTCTCAGTTCCACGTGCCCTCCTTGCGGACTGGTGGGTCTGGGGAGGGGCTTTTTTTTTGGGGAGGGGGTCTTTATGTTGCTTTGGTTTTGGGGAGGGATTTTATTTTATTTTATTTTATTTTATTTTATTATTTTATTTTATTTTATTTTATTTTATTTTATTTTATTTTCTACTGGGGGTTTGTTCTGCACTTGGGGGTCCCCATTTACCCCAAATGGGGTCCCCACATGTCCCAGGGTGTCCCCCACCCACCCAAATGGGGTCTCCACGTGTACCTGGGTGTCCCCCCACCCACCAAAATGGGGTCCCCCCATACCCAAATGGTGTCCCCACATGTCCCAGGGTGTTCCCCCCTCCTCAGATGGGGTCCCCAGTTGTCCCAGGTTGTCCCCACTCCCCCCGGGGCTGTCACCCCCTCCCCAAATGGGGTCCCCACATATCCCAGGGTCCCCCCCACTCACCCGAGGGTCTCTCCCCTTCCTTAAATGGGGTCCCCACGTGTCCCAGGGTGCCCCCCACCCTCCCAAATTGGGTCCCCACGTGTACCTGGGTGTCACCCCACCCACCAAAATGGGGTCCCAGGGTGCCCCCACTCCCCCTGGGGCTGTCACCCCCTCCCCAAATGGGGTCCCCACATATCCCAGGGTCCCCCCCCTTCCTTAAATGGGGTCCCCACGTGTCCCAGGGTGCCCCCTACCCATCCAAATGGAGTCTCCCCCTCCCCAAATAGGGTCCCTGCATGTCCCAGGGTGCCCCCCACCCAGCTAAATGGGGTCCCCCCATACCCAAATGGGTTCTCCACACGTCCCAGGGTTCCCCCCACCTCCCCAAATGGGGTCCCCACGTGTACTTGGGTGCCCCCTAGCCATCCAAATGGAGTCTCCCCCTCCGCAAATGGGGTCCCCACGTATCCCAGGGTCCCCCCAGCCCCTCTCCCCCCTCTCTAACCCCGATTCTCCCCCTCCCCAGCCATGCACACTCCAGCTCCAGCCGAACTCTTCATCTCGGGCGCCCTGCCCGGCTCGGGCACCTTCCCGTCCTCGTCGGCGCTGGGTCCCTACCAGCACCCGGCGTCGTTCGGCGGCCGCAGCTTCCCGGTGGGGTCCCCGCTGAGCCTGCCCGAGGCCGCCTTCAGCCCCGGCTCCAACGGGCTGCTGTCCCCGCACGATCCCCTGCTGCACATCAAGCCCGCGCAGCCCGCCGTGCCCTCCTCGCTGGGCTTCGACCGCCTGGGCTCGGCCGTGCTGGGCTCGGCGCTGCCGGCGCAGACGCCGCCGTACCGGCCGGCTCCCAGCTCGTCGCAGTTCAACCTGCTGGCGGCGGCCGAGCAGCCGCCTCAGCTCTACAACGCTCCGGTGTTCGGCGGCGCCAACGCGGCGGGCGGCGGCGAGCGCGCCATATCGCGGCAGGACAGCGTCATCAAGCACTACCAGCGGCCGGGCGCGGCCCAGCCGCAGCTGCCGCCGGCGCCGGGGCTGCAGCACTACCTGAGCTGCGGCGGCTCGTACCAGCAGGTGCCGGCGCACCGCGCGCCGCTGTCCTGCAGCCCGCTGGGCGAGCAGTCCCCGGCCAGCTCCGAGGGCTCGCAGCAGCCGCCCAAAGCCGCCCCGGCGGCGCCGCGCCCCGAGCCGGGCTACCGGCCCATCATCCAGTCCCCGGGCTACTCCGGCGGCGCCAGCGCCGCGGGCAACGGCGGCGCGGCCGGCGGGAACGGCGGCAAGTCCAAGAGTTACTCGGCGTCGCGGCAGCCGCCGCGCTCCACCAACACGCCCAAGTGCCAGAGCAGCTACACGCCCAGCACGCCCAAGCCCAGCTCGGTGATCGCCAGCCAGTCGCCGGCCTACTCGCCGGGCCAGCCGCCGCAGAGCCTGCTGGCCATGGGGGCAGCGCCCGGCTACAACGCCCCCGGCGCGCCCCAGAGCCTGGCAGGGACGGCGCAGCCCTCGGGCGGGTTTGGCGCGGGCCAGGCCGGGGACATGGCGGGCAAAGGAGGCGGATACCAGGGCACGGGGCAGGGCGGGCAGCAAGGCGGGCTGCAGCCCTGCGTCAGCGCCGCGGGCACCTACTCGCCCGAGCAGCTGCAGGCGCTGCCCTACGGCGTGCAGCCCGAGGGGGCGCAGCCGGGGGGCTACGGGCCGCCCGCCCCCTCGCAGGGCCTGCCCACGGCCAGCCCCTCGCTGAGCTACAGCGCCACCGGGCACTCGCCCGCCATGCCCGGCCCGCCGCCGCTGCCCTACGCCGGCCTGGGCGGCTCCAGCCCCTCGCCCATCATCCGCCCGCTGCAGTCGCCGCCGGCGGCGCGGCCGCAGAGCGGGGCCTCGCCGGGGCAGTCGCAGAAGTACCTGGGCTCCGTGCTCTCGCCGTCCTTCATGGCCCCGCAGGGCTACGGCGCCGCCCCGGGCGGGGGACTCGAGAGGCAGCAGCCCCCGGCCCCGCCGGGGGCGCCCCCCAGTTTCGGCAAAGGGGCCAAGGGCGAGGCGGAGCTGCTGGCGGCGGAGCGCAGCGAGGACGAGGATTTCCTGATCCAGCACCTGCTGCAGGCGCCCAGCCCGCCGCGAGAGGGGCTGGGGGGCTGCGAGGAGCGCCCCAAAGCCTTGGGGGGCTACGGCGGCGCGCTGGGCAAGGAGGAGCGGTACCAGCTGCAGAGCGTCATCCGGCCCAACTCCAACCTGGAGGCGCCGCTGGAGCTGGCGCTGCTCAAGGAGAAGAAGAAGCCCGAGAGGGGCAAAGAATTCCGGGGGGCCAGCGGAGGAGCAGGCGGCGGCGAGGTGGCGGCCACCTCGGTGGTGCACTACGGCCACCAAGCGCCGCCCGCCATGGACTCGTACGAGATGAAGAAACCGCCCGAGCACCTGGCCGGGGGCAAGGAGCTGGGCCAGCCGCCCCCGCCGCACTCGTACCTGCCCAAAACCCCCGAGCACGGGCGGCTGGTGGGCGAGGGACCCCCGCTGGAGCCCCACAACCTCCTGCTGGACCCCTCGCCGGAATTGGGGGGGTCGCTGCTGCCCTCGGTGCTGACGCACACGCAGAGCCAGCTGCACCCGCGGCCCAAGGGCCGAGCGCCGCTGGACGTTCACCTGCTGGAGCAGCAGCGCATGCCGCCCCCTCCGCCGCCCCCTCCGCCGCCCCCCGCGCCCCCCTCGGCGCCCCCGGCCCCTCCGGCCGCCCCCTCCCCGCAGCTGCTGCTCGAGGCCCACCTGCACCAGGTGCGCTCGCAAGGCCTGGACCCCCAGGCGCCGCCGCCGCTGCCCCCCCGACTCCATGGAGGTGTTGCCCCCTCCCCAGGAGATCCAGGACTTCTTGGAGCCCCCCCTGGGTTTGGAGCCGCACCTGGGGCAGAGCGCGGGGGTCCAGGGACCCCCCGGGCACCTGCTGGACCCCGAGGGGGGGGGTCCCGGCCGTGCCCCCCGAGGCCAAGGATCAGTTTTCGGAAGGGGGCAGCCCCGCCGGGGGCAAGGGGCGCTTCGTGCCCCTCACGTCCATCTGCTTCCCGGACGCGCTGCTGCAGGACGAGGACCGCGGCTTCTTCCCCGGCATGGAGGACATGTTCGGGCCCCCCGCCCGAGGATTTCCCCAAGCCCAGCGAGGAGGAGGAGGAGGAAGGCAGCGCCAACGCGGCCGGGCTGGAGGCGGCGCGGCCCGAGGGGATGAAGGCGCCCCCGCCGTACGACATGGGGCAGAGCTACCCCTCGTTCTGCCCGCAGGACGGAGGCACCGCCGGGGAGCCCCCCCAGCTGGGGCTGGAGCCCCCCAAACACGAGCTGCCCTCCACGGTGAACGCGGAGCCGCTGGGTCTGATCCAGAGCACGGGCGACGGCGGTCCCAAGCCCCCTCCTCCGCCTCTGAGCACGCCTCTATTCTGCTCCTCCAAACCCAAGAAGCTGCTCAAAACCTCCTCCTTCCACCTGCTCCGCAAGCGGGACCCCTTCCCGCCGCCCAAGAAGACCTACGCGCAGGAGTACGAGTTCGAGGACGACGAGGATAAAGCCGACGTGCCCGCCGACATCCGCCTCAACTCGCGGCGCCTCCCGGACCTGCTGCCCGACCTCATCTCCAGCTGCCGCCGCGCTCCGCTCACGCCCATGGGCGACATCGACTTCTGCCCGCACCCCGGCGCGCACGCCGCGGCGCCCAAGAAGCGCGGCCGCAAACCCACCAAGCCCAAGCGGGAAGGGCCGCCCCGGCCGCGGGGCAGGCCCCGGATCCGGCCCCTGGAGCCGCCCGGCTTCCCCGAGGGAGCCAAGAGGCCGCGGGGAAGGGGCCGGGGCCGGGGCAAGAAGGGAGGAGAGGACGGAGAGGGGATGGAGCCGCTGCGGCCGCTCAAGGTGAGGGGTTGGGGTGCAAGGGATGGGCTGAAAATGGCATGAGATTGGGGGTTTGGGGTGCTCGGGATGGTCCCCAGGTTTGGGGTTTGAGGTGCTCGGGATGGGCTGAAAATGACATGAAATTGGGGGTTTGGGGTGCTCGGGATGGTCCCCAGGTTTGGGGTTTGGGGTGCTCGGCATGGTCCCAAAGTTTGGGGTTTGGGGTGCTTGGGATGGTCCCCAAGTTTGGGGTTTGGGATGCTCGGCATGGTCCCAAAGTTTGGGGTTTGGGGTGCTCGGGATGGTGCGAAAATGGCAGAAAAATGGGTGCTCGGGATGGTCCGAAAATGACCCAGAATTGGGGGGTTTGGGGTGATCAGAATGGTCCCAAAATGCCCCAAAATTGGGGGCTTTGGGGTGCTCGAAATTGTCCCAAAATAGGGGGGTTTGGGATGATCAGAATGGTCCCAAAGTTTGGGGTTTGGGGTGCTCTGAATGGTGCGAAAATGGCACAAAATTGGGGGGTTTGGGGTGCTCCAAATGGTCCTAAAATGACCCAAGATTCGGGGGTTTGGGGTGATCAGAATGGTCCCAAAATGCCCCAAAATTGGGGGGTTTGGGGTGCTCGGGATGGTCCAAAAATGACACATAATTGGAGAGTTTGGGGTGCTCAGAATGGTTCTGAAATTGGGGGGTTTGGGGTGATCGGAATGGTCCTAAAATGACCCAGAATTGGGCACTTTGGGGTGCTCGGAATGGTCCCAAAGTTTGGGGTTTGGGGTGGTCAGGATGGGCTGAAAATGACCCAAAATTGAGGGTTTGGGGTGCTCCAGATGGTTTGAAAATGACCCAGAATTGGGTGGTTTGGGGTGCTTGGAATGGTCCCAAAGTTTGGGGTTTGGGGTTTGGGGTGGTTTGGGCGAGTTGTTGAGGAGCTTCAAATGTGCTTCAAATGGTCCCAAAACTGGGGGTTTGGAGTGCTCAAAATGGTCCCAAAATTGGGGGGGTTTGGGGTGCGCAGGATGGGCTGAAAATGACAAAAAATTGGAGAGTTTGGGGTGCTCCGAATGGTCCCAGAGTTTGGGGTTTGGGGTGCTCCAAAATGGTGCGAAAATGACCCAGAATTGGAGGGTTTGGGGTGCTCAGATTGGTCCCGAAATCAGGATTTGGAGTGCTCGGAATGGACCTAAAATGGCCCAAAACTGGGGGTTTGGTGTGCTCTGAATGGTCCCAAAATACCCCAAAATTGGGGTTTTGGCGGGGGTTGAGGGTTTTGTTTTGCTCCAGATTGACCCAAAATTCCTCAGAATTGGGTTTTGAGGGGATTTGAGGGGTTTGCTCTTGTCGGAATGGTCCCAAAATGTCCCAAATTCGGGGTTTTGAGGTGTTTGGAGTGCTTGGAATGGCCCTAAAATGCCCCAAATTTCGGGTTTGGGGAGATTTGTGAGGGTTTGAGGAGTTTGGTGTGACTGGAATGGTCCAAAATTCAAGATTTTGGGGGGGTGTTTTGGGGGGTTTGGTGTGCTCGGAATGGTCCCAAAATGTCCCAGATTTAGGGTTTTGAGGTGTTTGGGGTGCTTGGAATGGCCCTAAAATGCCCCAAATTTGGGTTTGGGAGGTTTGGTGTGCTCGGAATGGTCCAAAATTCAGGATTTTGGGGGGTGTTTTGGGGGGTTTGGTGTGCTCGGAATGGTCCAAAATGCCCCAAATTTGGGGTTCCCCCCCCTCAAATCGAAGTGGGTGTGTCCATGGAGGGGTCAGGGTATCCCAGTATAAACCAGTACAAACCAGTACAAACCAGTGACCCCCCCAGATCAAACTGGGTGTGTCCATGGATGGGTCAGGGTGTCCCAGTACAAACCAGTACAAACCAGTACAAACCAGTGACCCCCCCAGATCAAACTGGGTGTGTCTGTGGGGGGGTCAGGGTGTCCCAGTACAAACCAGTAACCCCTCCAGATCAAACTGGGGGTGCTGATGGCTGGATCAATGTCTCCCAGTACAAACCAGTATGACCAGTAACCTCCCAAGATCAAACTGGGGGTGTCTGTGGGGGGAGTCAATGTCTCCCAGTACCAACCAGTACAAACCAGTATCCCATTTCTCTCCCCCCAGATCAAGCTGGGGGTGGTCAGGGATGTATCAATGCATCCCAGTACAAACCAGTATAACCCAGTAACCCGTACAGATCAAACTGGGGATGGTCAGGGATGGCTCAATGTGTCTCCCAGTATAACCAGTATAACCAGTTACCCCCTTTTCTCCCCACAGATCAAACTGGGGGTGTCTGGGGGTGCCGATGCCTGTATCAATGTGTCTCCCAGTACAAACCAGTATAACCAGTATCCCCCTCTTTTCTCTCCCCACAGATCGAACTGGGGGTGTCTGGGGGTGCCGATGCCTGTATCAATGTGTCTCCCAGTACAAACCAGTATAACCAGTATACCCCTCTTTTCTCCCCACAGATCAAACTGGGGGGTGTCATGGTTGTATCAATGCATCCCAGTATAACCAGTACAAACCAGTATAACCAGTATATCCCCTTTCTCTCCCCGCAGATCAAACTGGGGGTGTCCATGGGGGTTCATAGGTGGCTCAGTGTGTCTCCCAGTACAAACCAGTATAACCCAGTAACCCCCACAGATCAAACTGGGGATATCTGGGGGTGCCGATGCCTGTATCAATGTGTCTCCCAGTACAAACCAGTATAACCAGTACTCCCCTTTCTGTCCCCACAGATCGAACTGGGGGTGTCTGTTAGGGGTCATAGGTGGCTCAATGTGTCTCCCAGTACAAACCAGTATAACCAGTATCTCCCCTTTTCTCTCCCCATACATCAGACTGGGGGTCTCTGGGGTAGATCAGGGCTGGATCAGAGTATCCCAGTACAAACCAGTATAACCAGTATCCCCCTCTTTTCTCTCCCCACAGATCAAACTGGGGGTGTCTGGGGGTGCCGATGCCTGTATCAATGCGTCTCCCAGTACAAACCAGTATAACCAGTATCCCCCTCTTTTCTCTCCCCACAGATCAAACTGGGGGTGTCTGGGGGTGCCGATGCCTGTATCAATGCGTCTCCCAGTACAAACCAGTATAACCAGTATCCCCCCTCTTTTCTCCCCACAGATCAAACTGGGGGTGTCTGGGGGTGCCGATGCCTGTATCAATGTGTCTCCCAGTACAAACCAGTATAACCAGTATCCCCCTCTTTTCTCTCCCCACAGATCAAACTGGGGGTGTCTGGGGGTGCCGATGCCTGTATCAATGCGTCTCCCAGTACAAACCAGTATAACCAGTATCCCCCCTCTTTTCTCTCCCCACAGATCAAACTGGGGGTGTCCATGGGGGTTCATAGATGGCTCAATGTGTCTCCCAGTACAAACCAGTATAACCAGTATCCCCCCTCTTTTCTCTCCCCACAGATCGAACTGGGGGTGTCTGGGGGTGCCGATGCCTGTATCAATGCGTCTCCCAGTACAAACCAGTATAACCAGTGTACCCCCGTTTTCTCTCCCCACAGATCAAACTGGGGGTGTCTGGGGGTGCCGATGCCTGTATCAATGCGTCTCCCAGTACAAACCAGTATAACCAGTATCCCCCTCTTTTCTCTCCCCACAGATCAAACTGGGGGTGTCTGGGGGTGCCGATGCCTGTATCAATGTGTCTCCCAGTACAAACCAGTATAACCAGTATCCCCCTCTTTTCTCTCCCCACAGATCAAACTGGGGGTGTCTGGGGGTGCCGATGCCTGTATCAATGTGTCTCCCAGTACAAACCAGTATAACCAGTATCCCCGTTTTCTCTCCCCGCAGATCAAACTGGGGGTGTCTGGGGGTGCCGATGCCTGTATCAATGTGTCTCCCAGTACAAACCAGTATAACCAGTATCCCCCCTCTTTTCTCTCCCCACAGATCAAACTGGGGGTGTCCATGGTTGTATCAATGCATCCCAGTATAACCAGTACAAACCAGTATAACCAGTATCCCCCTCTTTTCTCTCCCCACAGATCAAACTGGGGGTGTCCATGGGGGTTCATAGATGGCTCAATGCGTCTCCCAGTACAAACCAGTATAACCAGTATCCCCCCTCTTCTCTCTCCCCACAGATCAAGCTGGCCGTCTCCAAACCCGAGCCCGCCCCTCCCCCCGCCCCCCCCGGCTCCGCCGCCCCTCCCCCGCCGTTCCCGGGGGTCCCCGAGCCCCCCCCCGCCCAGGAGCCCCCCCAGAGCCGGCTGAAGCAGCGGCTGCGCGAGGCGGAGGAGAAGCAGCCCGAGGTGCGCTCGGGCTTCATGGCCTCCTTCCTGGACTTCCTCAAGGCCGGCAAGCGCCCCCCGCCCGCGCCCCCCGCTGCCCCCCAGCCCCTCCAAGCCGCCCCCCAAGGCCCAGGGCTTCCCCCTGGGGGGGTCCCTGGAGGCGGCCGAGGGCGGCGAGGGGCTGGTGATGGGCGGGTGCCCCTCGCCCTGCAAGCGCCTGGACGAGGAGCTCAAGAGGAACCTGGAGACGCTGCCCTCGTTCTCCAGCGACGAGGAGGACTCGGTCAGCAAGAACCAGGACCTGCAGAAGAGCATCAGCTCCGCCATCTCCGCCCTGGACGAGCCCCCGGAGCGCAGGGAGCAAGGTGAGAGCGCTGTGTACCTGCCAGGACCTGGGGCTGGGTCATAGAGAGCATAGGGAGCATCCAGGGGCTCATAGGGAGCTGCCAGGACCTGCAGCAGAGCATCAGCTCCGCCATCTCCGCCCTGGACGAGCCCCCGGAGCGCAGGGAACACCTGAGACACAAGGTGAGAGCACTATGTACCTGCCAGGACCTGGGGCTGGGTCATAGAGAGCATAGGGAGCATCCAGGGGCTGATAGGGAGCTGCCAGGACCTGCAGCAGAGCATCAGCTCCGCCATCTCCGCCCTGGACGAGCCCCCGGAGCGCAGGGAGCCGCCCGAGGCGCAAGGTGAGAGCACTGTGTACCTGCCAGGACCCATAGAGAGCATCCAGGGGTTCATAGAGACCTGCCAGGACCTGGGAGAGGGTGATAGACAGTGTCCAGGGGCTCATAGAGAGCACAGGGAGCTGCCAGGACCTGCAGCAGAGCATCAGCTCCGCCATCTCCGCCCTGGACGAGCCCCCGGAGCGCAGGGAACACCTGAGACACAAGGTGAGACCTGCCAGGACCTGCCAGGGGTTCATATGCACCTGCCAGGACCCATAGAGACCTTCCAGTAGTTCATATGTACCTGCCAGGACCTGTCAGGGGTTTATAGAGACCTTCCAGGACCTTCCAGGGGTTCATACGGAGCTTCCAGGACCCATAGAGAGCACCCAGGGGTCCATGGGGACCTTCCAGAACCATCCAGGAGTTCATGTGCACCTGCCAGGACCTATAGAGAGCATCCAGGGGCTCATATGGAGCTTCCAGGACCTGGGGGGAGGGTGATAGAGGGCATCCAGGGAGCTGCCAGGACCTGCAGCAGAGCATCAGCTCCGCCCTCTCGGCGCTGGATGAGGCCCCGGAGCGCAGGGAGCCGCCCGAGGCGCGAGGTGAGAGCACTATGTACCTGCCAGGACCTGCCAGGGGTTCATAGAGAGCTCCCAAGACCGTCCAGGGGTTCATAGGGACCTGCCAGGACCTTCTAGGGGTTCATACGGAGCTTCCAGGACCCGTAGAGAGCGTCCAGGAGTTCATAGGGACCTGCCAGGACCTTCTAGGGGTTCATACGGAGCTTCCAGGACCCGTAGAGAGCGTCCAGGGGTTCATAGGGACCTGCCAGGACCTGCCAGGGGCTCATAGGAAGCTTCCAGGACCCGTAAGAGAACATCCAGGGGTTCATAGGGACCTTGCAGGACCTGCCAGGGGCTCATAGGAAGCTTCCAGGACCCCGTAGGAGAACATCCAGGGGTTCATAGGGACCCTTGCAGGACCTGCCCAGGAGCTCCTAGGAAGCTTCCAGGACCCGTAGAGAGCGTCCAGGGGTTCATAGGGACCTTCCAGGACCTGCCAGGAGCTCATAGGAAGCTTCCAGGACCCGTAGAGAGCGTCCAGGGGTTCATAGGGACCTTCCAGGACCTGCCAGGAGCTCATAGGAAGCTTTCCAGGACCCATAGAGAGCGTCCAGGGGTTCATAGGGACCTTGCAGGACCTGCCAGGAGCTCATAGGAAGCTTCCAGGACCCATAGAGAACATCCAGGGGTTCATAGGGACCTTCCAGGACCTTCTAGGGGCTTGTAGAGACCTTCCAGGACCCATAGAGAGCATCCAGGGGTTCATAGGGGACCTTCCATGCATTCATAGGGACCTTCCAGGACCTGTCAGTGGTTCCTATGCACCTGTCAGGACCTTCCAGGAGTTCATAGGAACCTTCCAGGGACCCGTAGAGAGCATCCAGGGGTCCCATAGAGACCTTTCAGGACCTTCCAGGGGCTTGTAGAGAGCTCCCAGGGGTTTGTATGCACCTGCCAGGACCTGCCAGGGACTCATAGGGACCTTCCAGGACCCGTAGAGGGGGTCCCCAGGGGTTCATAGAGAACTCCCAAGACCATCCAGGGGTTCATAGAAACCTTCCAGGACCTTCCAGGGGCTTGTAGAGAGCCTCCAGGAGTTCATACGCACCTGCCAGGACCTTCCAGGCATGGATACGGAGCTTCCAGAACCCACAGAGAGCATTTAGGTGTTGATAGGAACCTTCCAGGACCTGTCAGGAGCTCGTAGGGTGCTGTCAGGGGTTACTATGGAGCTGCCAGGACCTGCCAGGGGCTTGTAGAGACCTTCCAGGGGCTTATATGCACCTGCCAGGACCTGCCAGCGCCTTCCAGGGGTTCGTGGGAACCTTCCAGGATCTGTGGAGAGCATCCAGGGTTCCATAGAGACCTTCCAGGACCTGCCAGGGGTTCATATGCACCTGCCAGGACCATCCAGGGGTTTCTGTGCACCTGCCAGGACCCATAGAGAGCTTCCAGGACCCATAGAGAGCACCCAGGGGTCCAGAGAGACCTTCCATGCATTCATAGGGACCTTCCAGGACCTGCCAGGGGTTCACAGGAACCTTCCAGGACCCATAGAGAGCATCCAGGTGTTCACAGAGACCTTCCAGGACCTGTCAGTGGTTCCTATGCACCTGCCAGGACCTTCTAAGGGTTCCTAGAGATCTTCCAGGATGAACCAGGACCCCCTTGGAACCTTCAGGGGTTCAGATGCAGCTGCCAGGACCTTCGAGGGGTTCATGCGGAGCTTCCAGGACCCATAGAGAGCTGCCTGGGGTTTATATGCACCTGCCAGGACCTGCCAGGGGCTCATAGGAACCTTCTAGGATCCATAGAGACCTTCCAGGACCCTCCAGGAGTTCATATGCACCTTCCAGGACCTGCCAGGAGTTCATAGGGACCTTCCAGGACCTGCCAGGAGTTCATAGGGACCTTCCAGGACCTGCCAGGGACATGTAGGTACCTTCCAGGACCTTCCAGGGATTCCTAGACACCTTCCAGGACCCATAGAGGGCCTCCAGGGCTTCATAGGAACCTTCCAGGACCTGCCATGGCTTCATGGTGACCTTCCAGAGCTTCATAGGCACCTGCCAGGACCTGCCAGGGGTTCATAGAGACCTGCCAGGACCTGCCAGGGGTTCATGGTGACCTTCCAGAGCTTCATAGGCACCTGCCAGGACCTGCCAGGGGTTCATAGAGACCTGCCAGGACCTGCCAGGGGTTCATGGTGACCTTCCAGAGCTTCATAGGCACCTGCCAGGACCTTCCAGAGCTTCATAGAGACCTGCCAGGACCTGCCAGGGGTTCATGGGCACCTGCCTTGGGTTCATGGTGACCTTCCAGGACCTGCCAGGGGTTCATAGAGACCTTCCAGGGTTACACAGGGACCTTCCAGGACCTGCCATGGGTTCATGGGCACCTGCCTTGGGTTCATGGTGACCTTCCAGGACCTGCCAGGGGTTCATGGTGACCTTCCAGGACCTGCCATTGATTCATGAGGACCTTCCAGGGCTTCGTAGGGACCTTCCAGGACCTGCCAGGTGTTGATGAGGACATTCCATGGGTTCTTAGCGACCTTCCAGGACCTTCCAGGGTTACATAGGGACCTGCCAGGACCTTTCATGGGATCGTGGGGACCTTCCAGTGCTTCGTAGGGACCTTCCAGGACCTGCCATGGATTCATGGGCACCTGCCTTGGGTTCATGGTGACCTTCCAGGACCTGCCAGGGGTTCATGGTGACCTTCCAGGTGTTCACGGTGACCTTTCAGGACCTTTCATGGGTGCGTGGTGATCTTCTAGGACCTTCCAGGGGTTCATGGTGACCTTCCAAGGCTTTATAGGGATCTTCCAGGACCTTCCATTGGTTCATAGAGACCTTTCAGGACCTGCCAGGTGTTCATGGGGAGCTTCCAGGAGCACATAGGGACCTGCCAGGACCTGCCAGGGGTTCGTGGTGACCTTCCAGTGGTTCATAGCGACCTGCCAGGACCTGCCATGGGTTCATGGACACCTTCCAGGACCTGCCAGGGATTCAAAGGGACCTTCCAGGGGTTGATGAGAATGATCCAAGGCTTCCTAGGACCCTTCCAGGACCTGCTGGAGTACCCAGGACCCTTCCAGGACCTGTCATGGATCTCCATGACCCTTCCAGGACCTTCCAGGAGTCGCCATTACCCTTCCAGGACCTTCCTAATTTTTATTTTATTTCTCTTTCGCAGCCGCCCCCCCCCCCCCCCTCCCCCCGCCCCCCCCGGAGCCCCCCCAGCCCCGGGGACCCACACAGGGACCTGCCAGGACCTGCCAGGGGCTCATGGGGACCTTCCAGGGTTACATACGGACCTGCCAGGACCTGCCAGGGGCTCATAGAGACCTTCCAGGGTTACATAGGGACCTGCCAGGACCTTTCACGGGTTCATGGGAACCTTCCAGGGTTACATACGGACCTGCCAGGACCTGCCAGGGGCTCATGGGGACCTTCCAGGGTTACATACGGACCTGCCAGGACCTTTCACGGGTTCATGGGGGCATTTTAGGAATTGCCAGGAACCTTCCAGGACCTGCCATGTGTCCATAGGGACCTTCCAGGGTTTCATGGTGACCTTCCAGGACCTGCCAGGGTTGCATAGGGACCTGCCAGGACCTTCCATGGGATCATGAGGACCTTCCAGGGGTTCATAGAGACCTGCCAGGACCTGCCATGTGTTCGTAGGGACCTTCCAGGGTTTCATAGGGAGCTTCCAGGACCTGCCAGGGCTTCATCAGGACCTACCAGGGGTTCATGGTGACCTTCCACGTGTTCATAGGGACCTGCCAGGACCTGCCAGGGTTCATAGGGACATGCCGTGGGTTCACGGTGACCTTCCAGGACCTTTCAGGTGTTTATGAGGACCTTCCATGGGTTCTTAGAGACCTTTCAGGACCTTCCAGGTGTTCACGGGGCCCTTCCAGGACCTGCCAGGGGTGCATTATGACCTGCCAGGACCTTCCAGGTGTTCACGAGGACATTCCAGGACCTTCCAGGGGTTTCACGGCGACCTTCCAGGACCTGTCACGGATCCCCGTGACCCTTCCAGGACCTTCCAGGGGTCCCCGTTACCCTTCCAGGACCCGTCTAACTCTGTTTCGTTTCTCTTTCGCAGCCGCCCCCCCGCCGGAGGATCCCCCCCCCTTCCCCTCCCCCTCCCCCCCGCCCCCCCCGGAAGCCCCCCCCAGCCCGAGCCCCCCAGCCCCTCCCCCCCCTCCCGCTCCCCACCCCTCCCCCCAGCGCCGCCCCCGCCCCCCGCGGGGTCCCCGAGCCCCCCGGGGGGGGTCCCCGGAGCCGCCCCGAGCCCCCCGAGCGCGCCCCTGCACCTGGCGCAGAAGCAGGGCACGGCCGCCGTCTGCGGGGACACCAGCGACGAGGAGGAGAGCGGCGGGGAGGGCATCTTCAGGGAGAGGGACGAGTTCGTGGTGCGCGTGGAGGACATCCCCGCGCTCAAGGTGGGACCGGGATAGACTGGGAGGGACTGGGATAAACTGGGATAAACTGGGAGGGACTGGGATAGACTGGGAGGGCACTGGGAGCACTGGGGACAGCAGTGACGAGGAGCAGAGCGGGCAGAGGGCATCTTCAGGGAGAGGGACGAGTTCGTGGTGCGCGTGGAGGACATCCCCGCGCTCAAGGTGGGACCGGGATAAACTGGGATGGGACTGGGATAAACTGGGAGGTGAACTGGGAGGGACTGGGATAGACTGGGAGGGACTGGGAGGCACTGGGATGGATAAACTGGGATGGACTGGGATAAACTGGGAGGGGACTGGGAGGGACTGGGAATAAACTGGGAGGGACTGGGATGGGACTGGAATGGCACTGGGAGCACTGGGGACAGCAGTGACGAGGAGCAGAGCGGGCAGAGGGCATCTTCAGGGAGAGGGACGAGTTCGTGGTGCGCGTGGAGGACATCCCCGCGCTCAAGGTGGGACTGGGACCGACTGGGATGGGACTGGGATAAACTGGGATAAACTGGGATAAACTGGGAGGCAAAGCGAGGGGAGTGGGAGGCACCTGGAGTGAGGCCGTGGCACTGAGAAATGGACTGGGAGGCCACTGGGAGAGATGTGGAGAGTACTGGGAGGCACTGGCAGAGACTTGAGGACACTGGATGGACTGGGATAAACTGGGATAAACTGGGAGGGACTGGATGGACTGGAATGGCACTGGGAGCACTGGGGACACCAGCGACGAGGAGCAGAGCGGGGCAGAGGGCATCTTCAGGGAGAGGGACGAGTTCGTGGTGCGCGTGGAGGACATCCCCGCGCTCAAGGTGGGACTGGGATAGACTGGGAGGGGACTGGGATAAACTGGGAGTGAACTGGGAGGGACTGGGAGGCACTGGGAGCACTGGGGGACACCAGCGACGAGGAGGAGAGCGGCGGGGAGGGCATCTTCAGGGAGAGGGACGAAGTTCGTGGTGCGCGTGGAGGACATCCCCGCGCTCAAGGTGGGACTGGGATAAACTGGGAGGGACTGGGATAAACTGGGATATACTGGGAGTGAACTGGGAGCACTGGGGACAGCAGTGACGAGGAGCAGAGCGGGCAGAGGGCATCTTCAGGGAGAGGGACGAGTTCGTGGTGCGCGTGGAGGACATCCCCGCGCTCAAGGTGGGACTGGGATAAACTGGGAGGGACTGGAGGGACTGGGAGTGAACTGGGAGGGACTGGGAGGGCACTGGGAGCACTGGGAGCACTGGGGACAGCAGTGACGAGGAGCAGAGCGGGCAGAGGGCATCTTCAGGGAGAGGGACGAGTTCGTGGTGCGCGTGGAGGACATCCCGCGCTCAAGGTGGGACCGGGAATAAACTGGGAGGGACTGGGAGGGACTGGGAGGCACTGGGAGTGAACTGGGAGGGACTGGGATAAACTGGGAGTGAACTGGAGGGACTGGGAGGCAAAGGCGAGGGGAGTGGGAGGCACCTGGAGTGAGGACATGGCACTGAGAAATGGACTGGGAGGCCACTGGGAGAGATGTGGAGAGTACTGGGAGGCACTGGGAGAGACTTTGAGGACACTGGGATGGACTGGGATAAACTAGGATAAACTGGGAGGGACTGGGATAAACTGGAGGGGACTGGGATAAACTGGGAGTGAACTGGGAGTGAACTGGGAGGGACTGGGAGGGACTGGGATTAGACTGGGATGGACTGGGAGCACTGGGACAGCAGTGACGAGGAGCAGAGCGGGCAGAGGGCATCTTCAGGGAGAGGGACGAGTTCATGGTCAGGGTGGAGGACATCCCCGCGCTCAAGGTGGGACTGGGACCGACTGGGATGGGACTGGGATAAACTGGGAGTGAACTGGGAGGGACTGGGAGGGACTGGGATGGACTGGAATGGCACTGGAGCACTGGGGACAGCAGTGACGAGGAGGAGAGCGGCGGGGAGGGCATCTTCAGGGAGAGGGACGAGTTCGTGGTGCGCGTGGAGGACATCCCCGCGCTCAAGGTGGGACTGGGATAAACTGGGAGTGAACTGGGAGGGACTGGGATGGGACTGGGAGGGACTGGGATGGGGACTGGGAGGGACTGGGATATACTGGGAGGGCACTGGGATAAACTGGGAGGGACTGGGATATACTGGAAGGGCACTGGGATAAACTGCGAGGGACTGGGAGGCAAAGCGAGGGGGAGTGGGAGGCACTGGGAGAGATGTGGAGAGCACTGGGATAAACTGGGGGAGACTTTGAGGGCACTGGGATGGACTGGGATAAACTGGGAGGGGACTGGGATGAACTGGGATGGGACTGGGATGAACTGGGATGGGACTGGGAGGGACTGGGATATACTGGGAGGGCACTGGGATAAACTGGGATGGACTGGGAGGTGAAGAGAGGGGAGTGGGTGGGGGCACTGGGAAGGACTTCAGGGCACTGGGAGTGAGGCCGTGGCACTGAGAAATGGACTGGGAGGCACTGGGAGAGATGTGGAGCGCACTGGGAGAGACTTTGAGGGCACTGGGATGGACTGGGATAAACTGGGAGGGACTGGGAGGCAAAGCGAGGGGAGTGGGAGGCACCGGGAGAGATGTGGAGAGGCACTGGGAGGCACTGGGAGAGACTTTGAGGACACTGGGATGGACTGGGAGGGCACTGGAATAAACTGGGAGGACTGGGATGGACTGGGAGGGGAGTGGAGGAGACTGGGAGTCACTGGACATCAGGATGTGACACTGAGGAAGGGGGACTGGGAGGCACTGGGAGAGACTTTGAGGGCACTGGGATGGACTGGGAGGCACTGGGATGGACTGGGAGAGACTCCACTCAAGGAGCTGGTGTTCAACTGGGATTGAACTGGGATTGGACTGGGATTGGACTGGAATTGAGCTGGTGTTTAACTGGGATTGAGCTGGGACTGAACTGGGGTTGAACTGGGGTTGAGCTGGGATTGAGCTGGGGTTGTACTGGATTGGACTGGAATTGAGCTGGTGTTAACTGGGACTGAACTGGTGCTGAACTGGGATTGAACTGGTGTTTAACTGGGATTGAGCTGGGGTTGAACTGGGACTGAACTGGGGTTGAACTGGGATTGGACTGGGATTGAACTGGAGTCGAACTGGGATTGAGCTGGAGTTGAACTGGGATTGAGCTGGGACTGAACTGGGATTGAACTGGGATTGAACTGGAGTTGAACTGGGATTGAGCTGGGGTTGAACTGGGACTGAACTGGTGCTGAACTGGGATTGAACTGGTGTTTAACTGGGATTGAGCTGGGGTTGAACTGGTGCTGAACTGGGATTGAGCTGGGATTGAACTGGGATTGAACTGGGATTGAGCTGGGATTGAACTGGGATTGAACTGGAGTTGAACTGGGATTGAACTGGGATTGAACTGGGATTGAGCTGGTGTTTAACTGGGATTGAACTGGGATTGAGCTGGTGTTTAACTGGGATTGAGCTGGGGTTGAACTGGTGCTGAACTGGGATTGAGCTGGGATTGAACTGGGATTTGAGCTGGTGTTTAAACTGGGATTGAGCTGGGGGTTGAACTGGGATTGAACTGGGATTGAACTGGGGGTTGAACTGGGACTGAACTGGGATTGAACTGGGATTGAACTGGAGTTGAACTGGGATTGAACTGGGATTGAACTGGAGTTGAACTGGTGTTTAACTGGGATTGAACTGGAGTTGAACTGGGATTGAACTGGGATTGGACTGGGATTGAACTGGAGTTGAACTGGGATTGAACTGGGATTGAATTGGGATTGAACTGGGATTGAACTGGGATTGAGCTGGGGTTGAACTGGGATTGAACTGGGATTGAACTGGGATTGAGCTGGGGTTGAACTGGGATTGAACTGGGATTGAACTGGAGTTGAACTGGAATTGAGCTGGTGTTTAACTGGGACTGAACTGGTGCTGAACTGGGATTGAACTGGTGTTTAACTGGGGTTGAACTGGAGTTGAACTGGGATTGAACTGGATTGAACTGGAGTCGAACTGGGATTGAGCTGGGGTTGAACTGGGATTGAACTGGGATGAGTGGGGATTGAACTGGGATTGGACTGGGATTGAACTGGAGTTGAACTGGGATTGAACTGGGACTGAACTGGTGTTTAACTGGGGTTGAACTGGGGGAATTTGGGGGGTCTTGGGTTTGGGGGTGGTCTGGAGGAAGGAGATTTGGGGCAGAATTTGGGGGATTTGGGGGTTCCTGTGACCCTGAATGGCTCTGGGTGGCTCTGGGTGAATTTGGGGTGAATTTGGGGTGAATTTGGGGTGAATTTTTGAGGGAATTTCGGGGGATTTGGGGCATCCTGTGACCCTGAATGGCTCTGGATGGCTCTGGGTGAATTTGGGGTGAATTTTGGGGTTCTGACCCCCAAATCCCCCCCCCCAGCTGGCGCTGCAGACGGGCCGGGAGCCGCCGCTTTTGGGGGATTTTTGGGAGATTTTGGGGATTTTCTGTGGCTTTTTGGGATTTCTTTGGCTCTGAATGGGTCTGGATGGATTTGGGGTAAATTTGGGGGTGAATTTTGGGGTGAATTTTGGGGGATTTTGGGGTTCCTGTGACCCTGGATGGCTCTGAATGGGTCTGGATGGATTTGGGGTAAATTTGGGGTGAATTTTTGGGGTTCTGACCCCCAAATCCCCCCAAGCTGGCGCTGCAGACGGGCCAGGATCTGCCATTTTTGGGGAATTTTGGGGGGATTTTGGGGTTCCTGTGACCCTGGATGGCTCTGAATGGGTCTGGATGGGTTTGGGGTGGATTTGGGGTGGATTTGGGGTGAATTTTGGGGTGAATTTTTGGGGGATTTGGGGCATCCTGTGACCCTGAATGGCTCTGGATGGAATTTGGGGGTGAATTTGGGTGAATTTTGGGGTCCTGACCCCCCAAATCCCCACCCCCCAGCTGGCGCTGCAGACGGGCCGGGGAGCCGCCGCTTTTGGGGGATTTTTGGGAGATTTTGGGGATTTTCTGTGGCTTTTTGGGGTTTCTTTGGCTCTGAATGGGTCTGGATGGATCTGGGGTAAATTTGGGGTGAATTTTTGGGGGATTTTTGGGGGGATTTTGGGGTTCCTGTGACCCTGGATGGCTCTGAATGGGTCTGGATGAATTTGGGGTGGATTTGGGGTAAATTTGGGGTGAATTTTTGAGGGAATTTCGGGGGATTTTGGGGTTCCTGTGACCCTGAATGGGTCTGGATGGATTTAGGGTGGATTTGGGGTAAATTTGGGGTGAATTTTGGGGTGAATTTTTGGGGGGATTTTGGGGTTCCTGTGACCCTGGATGGCTCTGAATGGGTCTGGATGGGGTTGGGGTGGATTTGGGGTAAATTTGGGGGTGAATTTTGGGGGTGAATTTTTGGGGGATTTGGGGCATCCTGTGACCCTGAATGGCTCTGGATGGCTCTGGGTGAATTTGGGGTGAATTTTGGGGTCCTGACCCCCAATTCCCCCCCAGCTGGCGCTGCAGACGGGCCGGAGCCGCCGCTTTTGGGGGATTTTTGGGAGATTTGGGGGGTTTTCTGTGGCTTTTTGGGGTTCCTGTGACTCTGATGAACCTGGGTGATTTCGGGTGGATTTGGGGTGAATTTGGGGGTGAATTTTGGGGTCCTGACCCCCCAAATCTCCCCCCCAGCTGGCGCTGCAGACGGGCCAGGATCTGCCATTTTTGGGGGATTTTTGGGGGATTTTGGGGTTCCTGTGACCCTGGATGGCTCTGAATGGGTCTGGACGGGTTTGGGATGGATTTGGGGTAAATTTGGGGTGAATTTTGGGGGTGAATTTTTGGGGGATTTTGGGGTTCCTGTGACCCTGGATGGCTCTGAATGGGTCTGGATGGGTTTGGGGTGGATTTGGGGTAAATTTGGGGTGAATTTTGGGGTGAATTTTTGGGGGATTTGGGGCATCCTGTGACCCTGAATGGCTCTGGATGGCTCTGGGGTGAATTTGGGGGTGAATTTTGGGGTCCTGACCCCCCAAATCCCCCCCCCCAGCTGGCGCTGCAGACGGGCCGGGGAGCCGCCGCTTTTGGGGGGATTTTTGGGAGGATTTTTGGGGATTTTCTGTGGCTTTTTGGGGTTTTCTTGGCTCTGAATGGGTCTGGATGGATTTGGGGTAAATTTGGGGTGAATTTTGGGGGATTTTGGGGGGATTTTGGGGTTCCTGTGACCCTGAATGGCTCTGAATGGGTCTGGATGAATTTGGCGTGGATTTGGGGTAAATTTGGGGTGAATTTTTGAGGGAATTTCGGGGGATTTTGGGGTTCCTGTGACCCTGAATGGGTCTGGATGGATTTAGGGTGGATTTGGGGTAAATTTGGGGTCAATTTTGGGGTGAATTTTTGGGGGATTTGGGGGTTCCTGTGACCCTGAATGGCTCTGGGTGGCTCTGGGTGAATTTGGGCTGAATTTGGGGTGAATTTGGGGTGAATTTTGGGGTTCTGACCCCCCAAATCTCCCCCCCAGCTGGCGCTGCAGACGGGCCGGGAGCCGCCGCTTTTGGGGGATTTTTGGGAGATTTTGGGGATTTTCTGTGGCTTTTTGGGGTTTCTTTGGCTCTGAATGGGTCTGGATGGATTTGGGGTAAATTTGGTGGTGAATTTTTGGGGGATTTTGGGGGGGGATTTTGGGGTTCCTGTGACCCTGGATGGCTCTGAATGGGTCTGGACGGGTTTGGGGTGGATTTGGGGTGAATTTTGGGGTGAATTTTTGGGGGGATTTTGGGGTTCTGTGACCCTGGAATGGCTCTGAATGGGTTCTGGATGGGTTTGGGGTGGATTTGGGGTAATTTGGGGTGAATTTTTGGGGGATTTTGGGGGGATTTTGGGGTTCCTGTGACCCTGAATGGGTCTGGACGGATTTAGGGTGGATTTGGGGTGAATTTGGGGTGAATTTTGGGGGTCCTGACCCCCTAAATCTCCCCCCCAGCTGGCGCTGCAGACGGGCCGGGAGCCGCCGCTTTTGGGGAATTTTGGGGGTTTTCTGTGGCTTTTTGGGGTTCTGTGACTCTTGATGAACCTGGGTGATTTGGGTGGATTTGGGGTGAATTTGGGGTGAATTTGGAGTGAATTTTTGGGGGATTTTGGGGGGGATTTTGGGGGTCCTGTGACCCTGAATGGCTCTGAATGGGTCTGGATGGGTTTGGGGTGGATTTGGGGTAAATTGGGGTGAATTTTTGAGGGAATTTCGGGGGATTTTGGGGGTTCCTGTGACCCTGAATGGGTCTGGATGGATTTCGGGGTGATTTGGGGTGAATTTGGGGTGGAATTTTGGGGTCCTGACCCCCCCAAATCCCCCCCCAGCTGGCGCTGCAGACGGGCCGGGAGCCGCCGCTTTTGGGGGGATTTTGGGGGTTTTCTGTGGCTTTTTGGGGGTTCCTGTGACTCTTGATGAACCTGGGTGATTTAGGGTGGATTTGGGGTGGATTTGGGGTGAATTTGGGGTGAATTTTGGGGTCCTGACCCCCCAAATCTCCCCCCCAGCTGGCGCTGCAGACGGGCCGGGAGCCGCCGCCCATCTGGAGGGTGCAGAAGGCGCTGCTGCAGAAATTCACCCCCGAGATCAAGGACGGGCAGCGCCAGTTCTGCGCCACCAGCAACGTGAGCGCCGCCCCAAAAAACGCCCCCGAAATATCGGGGGCACCCCCAAAAAACATCGGGGACGCCCCCAAAAAAAAAACCCCAAATCTCTGGGATAACCTCGAGGTGAAAAATCCCGCCCAAACCTGGAGTGTGGCACTAAAATCTGAGATTTTCCCCCCCCAAAAAATCCCAAGATTCCCTTAAAATTGGGGAGATTTGGAGCTTCCTCTGAAATTTTGGGGTGCCCCAAAAATGGAGGGACCCCAAAAAGTACCCCAAAAATCGGGAGGATAACCCTGAGGTGAAAACCTCGCCGCAAACCTGGGATGTGGCACTAAATCTGAGATTTTCCCCTAAAAAACTTTAACTTTTCCCTCAAAATGGGGGATTTGGGAGCTTTCTCTGAATTTTGGGGTGCCCTAAAAATGGGGGGACCCCAAAAAAACCCCCAAAAACTGGGGGGACCCCCCTGAACTTGAGGGAGCTGGGGAGACCCCTCCCAAAAACCCCAAAATGTTGAATCCTGACCCAAAAATGGGAATTTTGGGGTCCCTGGGGGAATTTTGGGGTCCCTGGGGGAATTTTGGGGGGAATTTTGGGGTCTCTGAGGGGATTTTGGGGTTCCAGGGATGGTTTTGGGGTGGATTTTGGGGCATTTTGGGGTAATTTTGGGGATGTTTTTTTATTTTTGGGATTTTTTGGGATGATTTTTGGGGGGATTTTGGGGGTAATTCTGGTAGGGATTTTTGGGGGATTTTTGTTTGGGATTTTGGGGGGTAATTTTGGAGGATTTTGGGGAATTTTTTGGGGATTTTTGGGGGTGCCCCTGACCCCCCATTTTTGCCCCTCCCCCCGCAGTCCCTGGGCTATTTTGGGGACCCCAAGCACCAAAACCCAAATTTGGGGACCCTGGGATGGTTTTGGGGTGGATTTTGGGGTAATTTTGAGAGGATTTTTGGGGGTAATTTTTGGGGTATTTCTGAGGATTTGGGGGTAATTTTTTTTGGGGTAATGTTTTGGGGTAATTTTTTGGGGTATTTTTGGGTGATTTTTCCGAGATTTTTGGATTTTGGGGTAATTTTATGGAGTAATTTTGGGGGTAACTTTTTGGGATTTCTGGGAATTTCTGGGGGATTTTTGGGGTAAGTTTTTTGGAATTTTGGTGTTTTGGGGTAATTTTGGGGGGGATTTTTGGGGTAAATTTTTTTGGGGGGATTTTGGGGTGCCCCTGACCCCCCGTTTGTGCCCCTCCCCCACAGTACCTGGGGGTACCTGGGATGGTTTTGGGGTGGATTTTGGGGGTTTTTGGGGGAATTTTGGGGGGATTTTTCGGGAAATTTTGGGGGTAATTTTTGGTGTCGTTTTGGGGTAATTTTTTGGGGGTATTTTTGGTTATTTTGGGGTGCCCCTGACCCCCGTTTTTGCCCCTCCCCCCGCAGTACCTGAGGTGGTTTTGGGGTGGATTTTGGGGTATTTTTGGCTAATTTGGGGGGATTTTTTTTTTTTTTTTGGATAATTTTGGGGGTAAATTTTTGGGGGTATTTTAGGGGATTTTGGGGTTCCCCTCACCCCCATTTTTGCCCCTCCCCCCCGCCGTACCTGTGGGTACCTGGGGGTGGTTTAGGGGTGGATTTTGGGGGATTTTTTTGTGTATTTTTGGTTAATTTTGGTGAAGTTTTGGGGGGTTTTTTTGGGGGGGATTTTTGGGGATTTTGGGGTGCTGAGGATTTTGGGGTGCCCCTGACCCCCCGTTTTTGCCCCCCTGCCCCCCGCAGTACCTGGGCTATTTCGGGGATGCCAAGCACAGGTACCAGCGGCTCTACGTCAAGTTCCTGGAGAACGTCAACAAGAAGGATTACGTGAGGGTGTGCTCCAGGAAACCCTGGCACCGCCCCCTGGCGCTCAGGTACACCTGGGCACACCTGGGCACACACCTGGGCACACCTGGCACACCTGGGTATACACCTGGGCACACCTGGGTACACCTGGGCACACCTGGGGACATGGGGGATAGTGAGGGTGTGCTCCCAGAAACCCTGGCACCGCCCGCTGGTGCTCAGGTGGGCACTGGGATACACCTGGGCACACCTGGGGACACACCTGGCACACCTGGGCACACACCTGGCACACCTGGGCACACACCTGGGCACACCTGTAGGCACACCTGGGGCACACCTGGGCACACATAGGGGCACCTGGGCACACCTGGGCACACCTATGGCTACCTGGGCACACCTGGGGCACACCTGGAATTATCTGGGCACAACTGTGGGCACACCTGGGCACACCTATGGGTACCTGGGCACACCTGGGGCACACCTGGGCACACTTAGGGACACCTGTGGGTACCTCGGCACACCTGGGCACACCTGTGGGTACCTGGGCACACTTGGGCACACCTGTGGGTACCTGGGCACACCTGGGGCACACATGGGCACACCTGGGGCACACCTATGGCTACCTGGGCACACCTGGGGCACACATGGGCACACTTAGGGACACCTGTGGGTACCTGGGCACACCTGGGGCACACCTGTGGGTACCTGGGCACACCTGGGGCACACCTGGGCACACTTAGGGACACCTATGGGTACCTGGGCACACCTGGGGGCACACGTGGGCACACTTAGGGACACCTTATGGGTACCTGGGCACACTTAGGGACACCTGTGGCTACCTGGGCACACCTGTGGGGGCACACCTGTGGGTACCTGGGCACACCTGGGGCACACCTGGGCACACCTTAGGGACACCTGTGGGTACCTGGGCACACCTGGGGCACACCTGGGCACACTTAGGGGACACCCTGTGGGTACCTGGGCACACCTGGGGCACACCTGTGGGTACCTGGGCACACCTGGGGCACACCTGGGCACACTTAGGGACACCTGTGGGTACCTGGGCACACCTGGGGCACACCTGTGGGTACCTGGCACACCTGGGGCACACTGGGCACACTTAGGGACACCTGTGGGTACCTGGGCACACCTGGGGCACACCTGGGCACACTTAGGGACACCTGTGGGTACCTGGGCACACCTGGGGCACACCTGGGCACACTTAGGGACACCTGTGGGTACCTGGGCACACCTGGGGCACACCTGGGCACACTTAGGGACACCTGTGGGTACCTGGGCACACCTGGGGCACACGTGGGCACACTTAGGGACACCTATGGCTACCTGGGCACACCTGTGGGGCACACCTGTGGGCACACCTGGCCACACCCCCCTCTAACCCCTCCCCTCCCCCCCCCCCACAGGAGGACAGCCGCACCCCAAGCCCAGCGCCCCCAAACCCCCCTCCCCCCCCCCAAGCCCGACCCCGCGGACAAACCCCAAAAAGCGGAGAAAGCCCCGAAAACGGGAGAAACCCCAAAAAGCCGAGAAACAGCCCCGGAGCGAGGCCGCCCCTCCCCCCCCCGCCCCTCCCGCGGGGCCCCCCCCGGGCCCCCCCCGGCCCCCCCCAAGGCCAAAGCGAAGCCCCCCAAGGTGAAGGCGGAGCCCCCCCCCAAAAAGAGGAAAAAGTGGCTCAAGGAGGCGGCGACGACGTCGGAGTCGGAGTCCAGCGGGGACCCCCCGAGCGAGGAGGGGTGAGCAACGGGGGGGACCCCGAATTGGGGGAGGGGGGGCACGGAGTTGGGGGAGGGGGACCCGGAATTGGGGAGGGGGGACCCTGAACTGGGGAGGGGGGCATGGAATTGGGGAGGGGGGCACGGAATTGGGACCCCCGAATTGGGGAGGGGACCCCCCCAGCGAGGAGGGTGAGAACAATGGGGGGGACCCTGAATTGGGGAGGGGGACACAGAACTGGGGAGGGGGACCCCGAATTGGGGAGGGGGGACACGGAATTGGGGAGGGGGACACAGAATTGGGGAGGGGGACCCCGAATTGGGGAGGGGGACACGGAATTGGGACCCCCGAATTGGGGAGGGGGGACACGGAATTGGGGGAGGGGGACCCCCAGAGTGAGGGAGGGTGAGAATGAGGGGGGACCCCAAATTTGGGGAGGGGGGCACGGGTTTGGGACCCCCAAATTGGGGAGGGGGACATGGACTGGGGAGGGGGACAGCACATTTGAGAGGGGGGAGCCCAAACTGGGGAGGGGGGGCACGGGATTGGGACCCCCAAATTGGGGAGGGGGACCCCCCCAGCGAGGAGGGTGAGGAACGGGGGGGGACCCCAAATTGGGGAGGGGGACACAGATTGGGGAGGGGGCATCCCCAGAGCGAGGAGGGTGAGAACAATGGGGGGACCCCGAAATTTGGGGAGGGGGACACCCCGAGCGAGGAGGATGAGAAACAGTGGGGGGAGACCCCCAAAATTTGGGGAGGGGGGACACGGACTTGGGAGGGAGGGGGACCCCAAATTTCGGGGTCTCCCCTTAAAGGGCCAGCGCTCCTTTAGAACAGGGGCGTGTCTCCAACTTGTGGGGCGGGGTGGTTTTTCCCTTTTTTGGGGGTGGGCGTGTCCCTGTGCCCCTCCCCTTAAAGGGCCAGCATTCCCTTAAAAGGGTGTGACTCTCAAAGGGGCGTGGCTCCCTTAAAGGGGCGTGGCTCCTAAAGAGCCCACACTCCCTTTATAATGGGGGGTGTGTCTCTGACTTGTGGGCGGGGGTTTTCCCCCTTTTTTGGGAGGTGGGCGTGTCTTCCCTTAAAGGGCCAGCGCTCCTTTATAATGGGGGTGTGTCTTCAAACTTGTGGGTGGGGTTTTTCCTCCCTCCTTTTTGGGAGGTGGGCGTGTCCTTGTGCTCCTCCCCTTAAAGGGGCCCACACTCCTTTGTAACAGGGGCGTGTCTCCAACTTGTGGGTGGAGTTTTTTCTCCCCTTTTCGGTGGGTGGGCGTGGTCTTCCCTTAAAGGGCCAGCACTCCTTTATAGCAGGGGTGTGTCTCTGACTTGTGGGCGGAGGTTTTTTGCGAGGTGGGGTGTGTCTTCCCTTAAAGGGCCAGCACTCCTTTATAACAGGGGGCGTGTCTCAGAGTTGTGGGGCGGGGTTTCCCCCCCCCTTTTCGGGGTGTGGGGCGTGTCCGGTGCGCCCCTCCCCTTAAAGGGGCCGTGTCCGGCAGAGCGGGCCCCCGCCGGGGCGGGTGCTGAACACGCGGGGCCATGAAGGAAATGTACCGGAGCTACGTGGAGATGCTGGTCAGCACCGCCCCTGGACCCTGACATGATCCAGGCCCCTGGAGGGACACCAACGGTGAGCCCCCCCCCCCCCCCCCCCCCCCCCACACCCCGGGGACCCCCCCAAAAATCCGCCCCAGCCCCCCCCCCTGACCCCCTCGGTGCCCCCCCCAGATGAGCTGTACCTGCCCCCCCATGCGGAAAATCGACGGCATCCCTCAACGACCACAAGAAGAAGGTGCTCAAGAGGGTGACGCTGAACCCCAGCCTGCAGGGTGAGGGGGGGAGCTGTGGGGCTGGGGGTGACCTGTGGGGCTCAGGTGACGTGGGGGGGCCCCACGGTGACCTCTGTGGTGTCCCCTGTGGTGTCACTGAGCGCACCTGTGCTCACCTGTGCCCACCTGTGGTGGCCCTGTGGTGGCCCTGTGCCCACCTGTGGTGTCACTGAGCTCACCTGTGCCCACCTGCACTCACCCTGTCCCCCACCTGTGGTGTCACTGAGCTCACCTGTGCCCACCTGCACTCACCTGTCCCCCACCTGTGGTGTCCCTGTGCTCACCTGTGCCCACCTGCACTCACCTGTCCCCACCTGTGGTGTCACTGAGCTCACCTGTGCCCACCCTGCACTCACCTGTCCCCACCTGTGGTGTCCCTGTGCTCACCTGTGCCCACCTGCACTCACCTGTCCCCACCTGTGGTGTCCCTGTGAGGTCCCTGTGGGTGTCCCAGTCCTCACCTGTGCCCACCTGCGGTGTCCCTGTGGTGTCACTGAGCTCACCTGTACCCACCCTATGCTCACCTGTCCCCACCTGTGGTGTCACTGAGCTCACTTGTGTCCCTGTGCCCACCTGTGCTCACCTGTGGTGTCTCTGTGCCCACCCTGTACTCACCTGTCCCCACCTGTGGTGTCCCTGTGGTGTCCCTGTGCCCACCTGTGCTCACCTGTCCCCACCTGTGGTGTCCCTGTGGTGTCCCTGTGCCCACCTGTGCTCACCTGTCCCCACCTGTGGTGTCCCCTGCGCTCACTTTGTGTTCCTGTGCCCACCTGTGCTCACCTGTGGTGTCTCTGTGCCCACCTGTACTCACCTGTCCCCACCTGTGGTGTCCCTGTGCTCACTTGCGGTGTCCCTGTGACGTCCCTCTGCTCCCTTGGACTCACCTGTGCTCACCTGTGGTGTCTCTGTGCTGTCCCTGTGGTGTCCCCTGTGCCCACCTGCACTCACTTGTGCCCACCTGCGCTCATCTGTGGTGTCCCTGCGGTGTCGCTGAGCTCACCTGTGCTCACCTGTGCCCACCTGCACCTACCTGGGTTCACCTGTGGTGTCCCTGTGCCCACCTGCACTCACCTGTGCCCACCTGTGGTGTCCCCTGTGCCCACCTGTACTCACCTGACCCCCACCTGTGGTGTCTCTGTGCCACCTGTACTCACCTGTCCCCACCTGTGGTGTACCTGTGGTGTCCCTGTGCCACACTGTACTCCACCTGTGCCCCACCTGTGGTGTCCCTGTGCTCACTTGCGGTGTCCCTGTGACGTCCCTCTGCTCCCTTGGACTCACCTGTCCCCACCTGTGGTGTCTCTGTGCTGTCCCTGTGGTGTCACTGTGCCCACCTGCACTCCACTTGTGCCCACCTGCGCTCATCTGTGGTGTCCCTGCGGTGTCGCTGAGCTCACCTGTGCTCACCTGTGCCCACCTGCACCTACCTGGGTTCACCTGT